TAGCATCTATTTGGGTCAAACTTGTGTGTTTTATTCTTTATTCTTATGGTTCCGGTGTGGATCAGGGCCCGTTACCCCAACAGACTGTGTCACTGTGTTTATGACCAATAAACACCTTGAAGCCTTGTTTCCCAAAACAAAGATGGCGGCCGCCGGCTGCCTGACTTGGGCCGTGATTTTAGAAACCAGTTTAAAACTTTTGTTATCATTCAGTCGGCGGGATTATCTAAACACACATGATTAGAGGAGGCTTTAAGGATTCCAGGATCATCTGCAGTTAGTGTTTTTAAAGGACAGTCTGTTTTTAACCAAGAGATAAACCGACAGTTAGCTTAGCGATCTAAATGTGTGCTAAGTGACGACAGAGGCGAGCTAAGCTAGCCTCAGTAGCATCACAGCGCTTTAGTTGGTATAAATTAAATCTTAGACACGAATTTAAATCGGTTCCCGCCGCCGTTTGACAGCTCAGCAGAACTCCGCCCGCCCGGGCAGCCACGGGGAGACGAAACAGGCGCTCCCACTGAACAGCTACCACAAGCTACGAAGCTCAGCAGCTAGCATGCTGCCTCAGCACAGCTACAATTAGCTGCTTCTGCTACAGGCTAAGTGTAGCACGAGACGAATTAAAGACGTGACACAGCTCCGCTACCTTAGAGTGACGTGTGCGCGCCCGTGACACCTAAAAACAGCCTCATCTTCAGGAAGGACGGGTCGGAGAGGAGACGCGCAGGCGCTTCATTCACTTCCGGATGAAAGCCGCCGAGCAGCATGAACTTCACAATAAAAGTCTGCACAGGCCTTTCTGGTTCGTTGTGTTGAGCTGCAGGACATTGGGGGGGGTGTTTAGATTTTCTACCACGCGGAAAAAGGAAATACAGGAATTTATAACTTCAATGCTTTATTTAAAGACTTGTTCATTCCAGAGGGACTGGGGTGATTTTACAGGAGAGTGTATCTGTCAGTCTAATCCAGAGTGGGTTGTTCTGGTATCGTTTGATTTCCTCCTTTTCTGAACGAGCTTCAGCAGGACTGAAGACCAGAGCTGTGACCTGATATGTGAATATGCTGCTTCAGTAAAAACCATTCAACATGTTTCTGCTGTTTTACTGAAACTCTCAAATTAGCATCATAAATATTGTAAATATGTGACAGGTGTCAGTTTAGATCTGAACTATTCCAATGCACTGCTTCTTTAAAGACTTTTATTTTGACAGCGTAAGCGTTTCCAAGCAACGAAAACACTTCCGGCTGTGGGGGCTGTGCGGCGCTGCTGGTCCTCAACATGCCGGTACATGTCGGTGGTCTCCGGGGACCAGGAGCTGCTGCCTCCGCAGACAGACGCCGGTCCTCGGACGGAGCTGCTGGTTCGGGCTCGTCAGAGGATGGACTCACAGGGAGGTCGGTTCTGTTGGTCAGTCCTTGATCTGCACTTAATGACAAGAACCAAACTTCTTTTTAAAGCCAGTTCCTGTGTTCTGTGCAGGTCTGGATGCACACTGAGCCGAACTAAAGTCGGTTTTATTGTGAAGTTTCACTTTCATGCTCCAAACTTTTCCACTTTGGTTCCGGTCTGTTTCTGCAGAAGGTTGGTTCATGTTTCACTCACTGTCGGTGAGTTATTGAACATCTAATCAATAAGTGACATAAGAACAAAACAAAGAGAACCTGGATGTTGTTCAGCTTCTTGATTTGTGGTGCAGAAGTGAAATGAGTCGGATGGATAACAGCTGATTCACGACTCAGTGTGAGTCACCCATCAGGGAGGTTTTATTACAGACAGACAGAAAGTGACAGAAACACAGTGGTGGTTCTGTTCCAGATGTTAGTGATGAACAGAACAAAGCAGAACAACAGGCGGTGCTTCAGCAGCTCCAGGATTCAACACTAGACCGACAGCAAAGGTGCTAAAAGACGAAGCAAAGTCTCACTGCAATAAAAGAACAGTTGTTATAATGAACAGCTGCAGAGGTTCTGTTTGCACCGTGCGTCAGCTTTAGCTACTTCTGGGTTTTTTCTCTTTTAATGCCAGAATTATTCAAACCACCTGGAACTCCAAAAGAAAACCCAGCTTCCATCTCCAGCTGGTTCTAGTGTCTGCCATGTTCTAGACGATACACTGAGAGCAGCTGATGCATGAGGTCTCTACTCAGCTACCAGTTAGAAAAATAAAGTCCAAAGTAAGAATAGAGTGCAGCTTAAAGTGTTCTTCATTTATATTTATATAGTTAAACTGAAATCCTTCAAACCCACTCAATAATGACTTTTTCTTTGACCGATAAGCTTCTTCTGGCTGGAAGTGAAATGATTGAACTCTACAGATGCACCTGAAGTGTGTTTTGGATGTTTTCAGCTCTCAGAGTGGAGGAGAGCGTGCAGGGCTGCAGTACTTCATGATGACCTCCTGTTGCTCCTCAGCCTGCAGCCGGCCAGATGTGGACTCTCAGCCTCTGAGCCTGGAGGACTCGTGGAGGCTGCGCGTGGCCTCGGCCCGAGTCTACGCCATCGTGAGGAGCAGAGACGTGCAGCGCTTTGAGGCGGCGATGGGATTCCTGGACGCTATCTACAGACTCCTGCCGGGACTGGTGGCCGCCATCAAACACATGAAGATCCTGTTTGGCCTCAAGACCCTGGTACGGAAACAAGACGCGCTCACTGAGTCGGCAAACGTCCGCGGCTGTTAAACCTCCCTCCTCTCTGTCTGCAGGTCGTCATGTGGATGCTGAAGCAGCGCCGAGCGATGGTTGACACCGTGTCCAAAGTCGTCCAGTTCTTCCCCAGCAAGCTGCCTCAGTACCGAGACCGCTGTGTGAGTCCGACGCAGAATTCTCCCGATGCTTTTACTTTGCTCGCTTTGTTTTCTTCAGGAAATGGTCACATGACCGAAGCCTGACGGATCAGGAGTGCATGTGGTGATAGTTTAGGAAGCTAACGTGGATGATGCTGAACAGTCTGATCACCATGGTAACGGTTGCTACACGGCCTGATCACCATGGCAACAGATGCTACATGGCCTGATCACCATGGTAACAGATGCTATCCAGCCTGATCACCATGGCAACAGATGCTACATGGCCTGATCACCATGGTAACAGATGCTAACCTGCTCTGGAGGAACTTTTTGTCCAGTTTAGATGTAAACCGGCTGTAAGAAGCGTCTCCTCTGACCAGTTCTTTTCCTGATGATTGTTTTTGTTCTTATACGTGTTCTTCCTGCACAGACTCAACGTGAAATGTTCCTCATGAGGAAGAACCACTCAGACTTTAAGAGTTTGGCACAAACGCTCGCTATGGACCAGAACAGACTGGAGGATTACATTCAGGTGGGTTTTTTCCACATCACCTCCACCTGGCTGCTGCAGCAGCTGTTCAGACTGTTGAGTGTGATCCATCAGACTGTTCCTCACTATGTCTATGTAGCACAGTCACGTGGACCGGTCCCAGTCCAACCAGACTAAATACAGGAAATACAAACCTGGTCTGGTCCAGCTTCACCACATCAGGTTCTGCTGATGTTAGAGCCTCAACAGCTGGTGAAATGTGACCAGAGACTGGGTTCTAGTAGAACCATGGATCCATCCATAGACAGACACTGACAGGAACTTTCTGGATCAATAATGTAACAGTGTCCTGATGGATCCCTTCAGTGGTTCTGATGGACCTGTTCTGTCTGAGTCTCCACATTTCATGTCTGTTGGAGTTTTAACTCCTCCGTCTGAAACCATGTGAATCCTCCACCTTCTGCCAGAATATTTAACAGAACTACGAAGACGACATAATCAGTCCGACACCTGAGACGATGGAGCAGCACCACTGATTTAAAATAATAAGTTCCAAAGTAAATAAAAATCACTGTGAGTCCTCGTCTGTCCAGCAGGGGGCGCTGCAGCTCCACATTAAAAACAAACTCTTAAGGCTGAACCAAGCTGCTCACTAATATTCAGTAAAGTAGCACCGAGGTGCTGCCAAGCTGGGTCTGCAGAACCGCTTCACTGCAGTAGAGGAACAGGTTCTACCGTCTACAAGTAAAAGTACCTCAGTGCAGAAATACTCTATTACAAGTAGAAGTACTGCATTCAGATGGTTAGCGTTAATAAAAACACTGAAGTTTGCCCTTTGAACGCTATTAAAATATTCATGTTGCAGAATGATGTGTGTTATTGATAAGGAGCTGGTCTCCATGGAGACGGGTCCAGTTCCATCTTCATACATCATAGCAGACAAAGTCAGAGTTATTCGGACTTTCCTGGAGCGCAGTACCACAGTATCAGTCCTATTACTGCTGCGGCGCTCCAACCCGGTACCCTGATGTGTTTTATGTCCAGAACCAGGTGGAGGAGGAGTACGGGGAGCGCTACGCCCAGAAGGTGGAAGACCGACTGCTGCTGTACCTGCAGCAGCTGGAGGCGGTTCTACCCGGAGACGCTCGCATCGACAAGGTCCGTCTGGTCACTGTGGTCCAGAACCAGGATCACGGTTCCTCTGATACATACTGAGCTCCACCCAGTCCCTGGTTTGTTAGAATATTCCTGTTAAGTCATCAGAGCTCTGCTGACGTTCCTCCACCTGGACCAGAACGTCTCTGAAACACTGGAGCTCCTCCTGGCTGAACTTCAGCAGTAGATGCTACGATTCACAGACGGTCCCTGAACGTCTCGGTGCAGGCTAAGCTAGTTAGTGGTGCTCAGAGAAGCTTCTGGTCTGAAAGAAGGAGCTTTAATGTCACGTTTACTGAGGCTGGAGCTCGTTAAAGGTCGACATGAGATTATTAAAGTCAGGGTTCTGGATCAAACTCTCCAGTATTTCATGATGTTTTCTCTGGAACGAGGCTCTGAAACGTGTTCCTGTAGATGAATCGTCCCTTCAGCTGTGAGGCCTCCAGCGGAGCTGCAGGGACGAAGCGCTTCGTTAACTTCTATTAAAGATTCTGATCACTGATCAGTTTCAGTGAGAAACAGTGGAGACCTCCTGACCTTCAATGGGCTGCTTTTGTTCCTTCCCTCCTCTGATGCTAAACCGGATGTCTTCAGCATCTTGGACTTTGGGAAACATGGATGTTTTTAATTTCTGTTTTACTATTTTCTGACATTTTATAGCCAATCAAACAAATCAGCTAATTGAGACAGAACTCATTAGTAGCAGTAAAGTCTACTTTATTCTTTCTTCACTCTGGTGTGAATGAACTAAAGCAGCCAGTGGAACAGAACAGAAGCTAAACATCTTGTTTCCATACAGACAGATGAGAGTCAGTAAACCATGAAGCTGTAGTTCACCTCCGTCCTCTGTCCTGTCTGAAGACGTTTGTCTCGTGTGCTCAGATTCTGAAGAACCAAAGTCCTGCGACGGAGGAGAAGCTGCTGCTGCAGGCGACGACCTCCGACTGCTCCACCATCGCAGCAGCGCTCAACCAGCTGCTGGGCTGCGGTAAGAATCAGCTGCACGCCCTCATTCAGTGGCTCATTGATGTGAACAGAACCAGTAGAGGTCGGTTCTGCCACTCAGGACCGGACCTGCTTTAGACAAGTTTACTGAGAACAAGCAGAGTTTAAACCACCTGCATGTAGCCAGAGATACTAGAAGAACGCTTCAGTGCTTCACTGCTCTGTAGGACCCACGTCTAGAACTTTAGAACACACAGAGCAAGTGAGAAGGTAGAGGTGATCCAGAGAACTTATCGTTTGGACCATAAAACAGGAAGCAGAGTGTAGATGGTGAGTGGAGGCACCGAAGTCCTGCAGCTCTGTGGATCAGAACAACAGCAGAACTCAGAAACGTCGTCTGTTCAGGATGACAGTTAAAATAAATCATAGAAAAGCCTTTCAGTCACCGACGCTCTCGCTCATCCTGATGCCTCTCTGTTCATGTAGATGTTGCCTCCTGCCGTCCAGCAGCTCAGTCATCAGATGTTGGACAGAAAGGACTGGAACCCTCTGAAAGCCCAGAGTCTGCTCCGTGTGGAAGCTCCTCGAAGGCTCGTCTAGAGTCAGGAGGAGGCCGAACCAACGGGCCGGAGGTCGGATCAGAAGATGGCGCTCTGTTGCTGGAGGATGATGCTGGAGGACGTCCAGGGACGGACGGTGAGGTGGTGGAGGAGACCGAGAGCAGGAAGAACATCAGCGGAGGTGTTCAGGAAGCCTTGTCCTCCCCTCAGTTCTGCTCCAGACACCAGCGCTGGGTGAAGAGCATCCTGAGGGAATGTCCAGACGAAAGCTCTGCAGAGCTGCAGCTTCAGGCCAACATCTCCTCATCTCCACTGCTGTTCCTGTCATCCTCGTCCAACTCCTCATCTCCAGACCTCACCCCGTCCGACCTCGTCCCCTGTCCTCCTGGTCTACTTTCACAGACGCCAGCAGACCTTAAAGAGAATCCGAGCTCTGGATCAACAGTGTCTGGAGCTGAGCCTCGGCCCTCGTCGTCCAGAAACCTTCTGCTGTCGCCGGTGGTTCGACTGGTGGACGTCGCCTCCTTCAGAGGGCGCTGCGCCGCGTTCAGACCCCATCCAACATTTCCAGATTGCTTTATCATCTGCAAACAGGCAGCTTCTGCTTCCAGCCCTCAGATACCAGCTCCTGCAGCATCTCCTGCATCTGAGGATGTACCTACACCACCCAACTGTCAACCGACTGCACATAGTGTCTCCAGACTGTCACCAACGTGCAGAGAGGCCACCACCAGGTCTTTGACAAGGAAACCGGTAGCCTCTGCTTCCAGTCCTCAGATAGTTCTAGTAGCAGCTCAGGACGGGACGTGTTCCACTGACTATGAACCGACTCGACCTACCTCCTCCAGACTGAAGACAACAGCAGCACTGAGAGGGAACCCTTTAGTTCAGATGACTTGTCCAGCCTCGTCCAGTCCTCCTCCACCTGACTGGAGTTTGTCCTCATTCAGGTCTGCCAACACTTCATCTGCCACATCTTCTCGACCGCTCGTCCCTCAGACTTCTCAGTTAGAAACGCTTCCACTGTGCAGCGCCAACCGCCAGCCGAGGCTATCGCTGCCGAGCCAGGCGGTGCTGCTGCGGTCCAAGCTGCTGCAGCCGTCCGTCGGTCTCACCAGGCTGAGCGGCACCGAATGTAACCGAGCGACCAATGGCAGAGCCTCGATCGGACGCAAAGAGTCCACGGAGGAGGGCAGCGGCGGGGACGAAAGGACCCAGGACGCTGATTCTTTATTTGACGTGAACCATCTTTTCTCGAGCAGCGGCAGCGAGGACTCGCCGGACAGCGACCCCGACTACAGACCTCCCATCAAGAAGACGAGACTTCTGCTGGAGTACGAGAACGCTGAGTCACTCTGAGAGCGTTCAGAAGCAGCAGCGGCCGTCTGAGACCAGAACTGAGGGTCACGATTGCTCAGACTTCTTAATGATCCTGACGGAGAGAGATTTGTGTTTTTAGAAATCGTTTTTAAAGTGAAAGGTCAACTCTGGGGAACACTTACCTCAAGTCTTACCTCACATCTGTGGACTGATCGGCCGACGGGACGTAACGACGTTCATCAGGCTGCTGAGTGTGTTTAATGTGTGTGTTGAGCTGACACGTCAGAAAAAGGAAATAGAGGCCAGTGTTCAAAAAGCTTCGGTGTGTTTTAGCCCCACAGCAGATGGAAACGCCTTCTCTTACGTTCTGCCTCCACTGATCTCATGGCAGCTTTCTGTCATGAAACATGTTGAAGCTAATATGAAGGAATCATCACAACGTTCCTGAAGACTTCTCTCCACTTGCCTCCTCTCCTGGATGGACTTCTTCTTCTTGGTTTTTAGGCGAACCAGCTGCTTTAGTTTTCTGCTTCTGCTCTGTTTGTTATTCTGCAGCCTTCAGCGCCACCTGCTGTCCATTCACTCCAGAGCAGTTCATAGAGACGAGCCTGAAACTAAGCTTCACATGTTCTGGACTGTCTTAAAGCACCACGGCTGCTGAAGCATGTAGCATCGTTAGCTTCAGGTCCTGGAACTGATGTGACTCTTCCTGTCAAACAGAAATGTTAGAAACGAAGACGTTCATCCTAAATCTACCTCCTGGTTGGGGCTCGGCAGGATTTTCAGATGCACACTGGGTCAGATCTCTGAATCTACGAGTCTCTTCAGAAGGCGTTTAGCGTCTCTTAGAGCCGCAGCGATCAGTCGATTAATGGCTAATTATTAACTTATTGGTCATTGTAAAGGGGAAAAGGACATTTGGATGTTTTCTAATTGCAGCTTCCTAAATGTGAATGTTTTCTGCTTTCTTTTCTCTGTGACATTAAACTGGACGTCTGTGGACATTCTTGGGAAACATTCATCGACTTTTTCCTCCATTTTCTGACATTTTACAGACCAATCAACTCATCAGTTATTCCAGAAAGTCATTATTAGCAGCGGCCTGAGTACGTTTATTCTCCTGAAACAGCAGCTTTTTAAATTTGAGACTAACTGTGGAGAGACTGAAGCAAAGCGGAGGAGCTGTAGACGGTAAAACCAAAGCAGTGAGCTCAGAGACGCTGCTACAGGTGATACGACAGGTGATCAGTCTTTGTTTAAACCACTGGTTCTATAAAAACAGAGAAAACTGCAGCTTTAAGGTAAAACAATGACCCTGAACCAACAGATGCAGCTTTGACTGTTTAGGTTCTAGGTCCAGTCCTAACTGGTCCACAGCGGGTTCTAAACCAGGTGCTGCAGTGTGTCGTCCTGTTCTGTGGCTGCTGATGGAGTCTGTAAAACCACAGACGTGTAAATTAGCTGAAGTGTCGATAATGTTCCTACAAGAGCCCTGCAATGTGTTTCTGTTGCTCGGTCGGTCCAGAACATCGGACTAGTTGGTACCAGTACCAAAGAGATGAATGCATTTCACCGTAAACCGCTGCTGGAGGGAACCGGGGCGCTGGTTCCGTAACAATAAAGACACTCGCCTTATTTCAAACAATGTTGAGTTATTAAAATCTTTTTTAATAAGCATTTCTGCTGCAGCTGCCTGATCAACAAAAACAGAGAATACGTGGTCTCGCTGTGATATCGACATGTTCACATGAACTTTACAGAAACAGCACAAAGTCCTGCAGCTCAGTGGAAGCAGGAGGATGGTGAGATGCCATCCAACAACACCAAACGCTTAAATGTCTCTGGTTCCATACACATACGTACTATTAATGTTTAACGTTTCCTCTCTGCTCATCAGCTGCAGAAAGACGTTCAGGATGTTTGGATGTTTTTCTGACACTCACCGTCGACCATGGTTCATCCACGGACCTGCAGAAAGCTTCACATCTGATCGTTTTCTCTGGTTCTGCGGTTTGTCTGGTTCTGATGGATGTCGTCATGTTTGTGATTTAAAAAACAACAGCAAGCCGTTCAAGCCACATTCAAATGGTTTCATCAGGTTGGGAGGAATCTGTTTCTGGTGGATCAGCAGCAGGAGCATGTGTGTGTGCACAGCGCCACCTGGCTTCAGAGCATCTGAACTACGTTTGACAGCAAACGTTTCAAGTTAAAGTGTGTTTTCTGGCCAAACAGGAACCGTCTTAATGAAGCGTCAGTCTGACCTGGACCCGCCCACCGCCGCTCCGTCTTCTATTCAGCCAATCGGATCGGGCTGGACGCGACTCCAGCGGTCAGACATCAACGAGTCTGTGCAGAAAGCCGTCCAGACGAAGCAGCAGAGGGTCGCCTCTGTTTGCACAGCGACTGAGCCGCGGATCGGAGGTAAAACCAGGACATCATTCTGGCCTTTGACCCGCCATCGATTAGGAAATGTGCCCTTGAATGATACAGCAGAAAGGCAAACACAGACCGAGCACAGGAAGTGCTGCCTGAACCGTCGCTCTCCAACAAAACAGCTCGTTCTGTGGTTTCCTCGTCGGGTCGGTGCAGGTCAGAGGCAGCGATCGCAGGTTTCTTAGTGATTCAGCAAACTCTGGATCAGTCGCGTCGTTTCAGAGAACAGTGGTCGGTATTTAGGACCCGAAACTAAACTCTATAAAGTATTTCAGTCCGATCCAGTTTTATTTCTACAGACAGACCAGAGTGATGCACAAAGATCAAACAAGATGAGAGTAATAAGAACAGCAACAAGACTGAACAAAAGCAACAGTTAGGAAAATTAGAACAAGAGATAAACAAGCGCCCAGTGGTAAACGCATTAGGAATTGAAGGTAAAGTAGTAAAATCTAATAAAATGACATCCTACGTGGTGTCAGAAGCGAAGGAGGAGAAACAGGTTTAAAGATGAGATCTAAAAGCAGACAGTGTTGAAGCCTGTCTGATGTGAAGGGGGGCCATCCCAGACTTTCAGAGCAGAACGGACCCCCCTGGGTTCAGGCTTAGTTTAGGGACGCTCAGGAGCAGCTGCTCGGCCGACCAGAGAGAACGGGAGGGTGTGTAGAGGAGCAGCAGATGGAAACGGTGTGGCGGAGCACGGCCATGGAGAGATTTAAGAGTAAGTAACATCATCTCAAAGTGAATCCTCAGCTGGACCGGTAGCCAGTGGAGTGAGGCCAGAACTGGGAGATGTGCTCGTGTCTCTTGGTGCCACTTAAGAGCCGTGCAGCTGCTTTTGGACCATCTGCAGGCGGCTAACGCCAACATAAAGTGAGTTACAGTAATCCAGCCGAGTGCTTACAAAGGCTTGGATTACTGTCTCCAACTGCTCTGGCTGCAGAACAGGCTGAATCCTGGCAAGCTGCCTCAGGTGATAACAGCTGGATTTAATAACGGCTCGTATCTGAGAGTCCAGCTTTAGCTCAGGGTCCATTCAGATGCCAAGATTAGTAAGTATTGGCTTTTCGTACTGAGCCAAGGAACCAAGAGTCACGGAGCGAGTCAAATTGGTGCCTCCAAAAACCATAACTTTGGTTTTATCTTCGTTCAGTTTCAAGAAGCTGCACGTCATCCCAGACTTGATGTCTTCCAGACACTTCAACAGGGGGTCAGTGGAGGAAGCTTCCTCCTCTTTCAGTGCCATATAAATCTGGCAGTCATCTGCATAGCAGTGACAAGAAACACCGCGTTTCCTGAGGATGCAAACCAGCCAGAGAAAATAAATGGAAAACAGGAGGGGGCCTAGAATCGAACCTTGAGGGACACCACATGTCAAACGAGCAGGAGATGACGCAGAGTCAGCAAGTCTGACACCGAACACCCTGTCGGCCAGATAAGACCGGATCCATTCCAGGGCTGTGCCCCCGATGCCCGCCCACTGCTTCAACCGCCTAATCAGGACCCCGTGGTCGACTGTGTCAAAGGCACCAGTTAAATCCAAGAGAACCACGCAATCCCCAGAACCATTTGTTAAAAGGATGCCATTAAAAACTCTTAGAAGAGCTGACTCAGTGCTGTGTAGCTAGAACACCTCAAGAACATCATCGTTGTCCATTAAAGAGATAACTGGTTAAAAACAATCTTCTGGAGGACTTTTGGCATAAAAGCTGATTCAGAATTTGGCCCGTAGTTGGATTAAACTGTGCATTGAAGCCTGTGTTTGGTCATTAGAGGTTGCACCACTGCATGTTTGAATTCTTGTGGAAAATGACCCAAGGCTAGACTGCTGTTAATAACTTCAACAACAGCTGGTCCCACAGCAGGAAAAACCTCTTTAGAAAGTCTAGGGGATCACATCATTCGAGGGTTTGAGGTGTGATACGACCTCCTGGCAGAGGATCAAGTGACAGACTCAGATGTGTCCAAGGCAGCAGGACAGGAAACACAGATATCGGACAGACAGACATCTGGTGACTGGAGCAGTGGTTGGAGGCCTGCTGGATGGGACCTTATCTACATAAAAGTTAAGAAACTCTTCACAGACTTCAGGCGAGGAGTCCATACAGATGCTTTGAGGAGCATGAGGAGCCTGGAGTCTGGAAGAGGACACGAGGCTTAACACAGTTTGTCAGAATCAAGTCTGAGAAGAAATCTCTTCTTCTTCATCCTTCACTGTCCTTTGGTAGAGTCGCCACGACTCCTTCAGCACCTTCAGAGAGACCTGCAGTCTGTCCTTTCGTTTTCTTCTCAGCTCTCAAGATTTTTGGCAGAATTTAAGAATTTAATTTGTTTTTAGACCTCGTACCTGAGAAACGGTTTTAAAGGTTCAACATCTCCAGAAGTGAAGTCCAACAACATGACATGTGGTGACTCAGAGAGAACAGTTCCATCAGATCTAGAAGGTTCAGTGGCTCCAACAGAAGACGTGTTCAGAACTACTGGCCCCTAAAATAGGAAGACTGCAAAATTCTTCAGCCAGGCTGGTGCTGATCCAGAAGGTTCCTCTCAGCGTCTATCTGTGGATGAAACCATCCATCCATCATCTCTACACCTTCATCCTTCCA